AGTCTTGTTCGCTTCCTAAACCGGCTTTCCTCTCAGTCGCCATAAACCTCATCGAAACGCATGTATATTTTAGCGCTTGGCAGAGAATCTATATTTTTGCAAGAATAAATGTCGCACCAATTCCACTGTTTTTCCTAACCAATGAATGTCATGATAACAACAAAAGCTTTAATCTTCTTTAACCCATTCGCGCCGGGTAAAAATGAACAAAAAATGGGGGAAATGCTGTGCTCATTTTTTATATTTTTTAATGAAATTTCTCTACACTAGATGGCGCTGCTTTACCTGATTTCATTTGGCGGGAAAATGTATTTTTACTAGTGCTATGAATATCGATGGTTATTTTTATTATAAACATTATAATTACTATAATGTTATAAACATTAGTAACAGCAAAATAAGATAACGCCAAATAATTTCGTAAATTAAAGAAAAGGGTAAACAGACGAGACAGGCAGTACAAGTGCAAGTGGAGCCATCTATGTTTGTAAACAATCAAACAAGTAAACTCACAGTGGGCCCGTCACGTATACGTGACGCACGGCGTGAATGGGTTAATGTATATATATATATATATATATATATATATATATATATATATATATATATAAACATATATGAATATATATATATATATATATATATATATATATACATATATGAATATATATATATATATATATATATATATATACATATATATATACATATATATATATATATATATATATATATATATATATATGTATATATAAACATATATGAATACATATATATAAACATATATGAATACATATATATATACATATATATATATATATATATATATATATATATACTGATATTGGTCCTTAGCTGGCATGTTGGTGTTTTCGTATTAAACGAAGATGAAATTGTTTGAAGCTTCCATATATTATATCATTCTCATAGGACTAGGGCCATGTACAGACGACATTTTCAAGTACAAGTACATGTACAGTCATTTTGATATATACTTAAGTCCAAGTAAATGCCATTGTACTTATGTAGAGGTACTTTTTGTGATAAAACAAACTCTATCACAGATTCATAAAGCACAAAAATCACCGTTTCCTTATACACACATTAATGAATACACCTTGTAAGGTATCCGTGGGAGGAGCCCTTTTCGTCACACCGTCAAAGTGACGATGCCCCGTGAAGCGGGATAAAAGGCATAAGGGCCAGGATAGGGGGGCCCTGTTTACTCCATAAAACAAAACAAAAACAAAAGCAAAGGTGAAACAAACATCTCTTACAGGCCCTCATAAGAAGAATGGGCTGTCTGAAGAAGCAGTACAAGTGCTTTTATAACGATCTCTGCACATATAAGACTAAGTAGCATGCCCAGCTTCTCCTAAGATTGGCAAGAATAAGGCTCAGATACAACCTTTCTCGTTCCTGTACGTCAGCAAATCACTGTAGGATCCATCGGGAGTAGCACACAAACACACGTTCGAACTGACACTTCTTTATTGGGTACAAATGGTCCCCTTATATAGGCGGGAAGGGAGACGAGACATACATCAACTTTTATATTAGAATTATTTAAAATACAAGATTTATGCAAGGACCAGTAATGATTGTTATAAAATCAAAAACACACACTTTAAGTTTTAAAAATAACATATAAAAATAATAGAGGTAAAAGAAAGTGCAGATAAAAATATTTGTGGCAAAATAAATAATATAAAAAAAACATCAGTAAACCGCTAAACATGACACAAAATAAATGAACAGTACCAATCATCATGTTAAGAGTAAAAAGACATTAAAATACATAAATTCTGCCCTGAGTAAAAATAGTAAAAGATGCCACGAAACTTTTATAATTATCAACTTAAAATAACAAAACTAAATTGGCCTAGTATTGCTAAAAATAGAATGAATAAAAATTGAAACAAACTGATCTCATTTAACAAAACATTCAAATTACATACTACAAACACGAGAAATAAAAAGTGTAAAACTGAGCGGCAGTTCGGTATCATGAAGATACCGCGAGTCTAAAAAGCCCGAGATCAGTATGTAAACAAAGTAAACAAAGTAAACAATAATATCCTAGACTGAACTCTACATGTTGTTTACATGGTTTACGCCTATAGAACATGAGAGGCGTGTACATAGAATAATGAAAGATAAGTGTCAGGCGATCCGTCTGCTGTGGCTCCTCCAGGATCCTACGAATTCCCGTGGGCCAGGGATAAGGTCAGGATATAAGGTTAAGGGTTCAATCAGGATAGTAGGGACGTAGAAATAAGGGTCTGGATAAGGGAAAGGTGGGGAGAGATCAGGGAAGAAGGCAGATAGACAAAGTGTAGACAAGAGAAAGGCTAGCATAGAGGGGGTAGATCCAGGGAGGGTAGATCTTTAGTATAGCTCCCATAGAATAAAGGGCAAGAGCAGTGAGAAAAAAAAAGGGGAAAGGGTAGAAGGAAGGGTAGGGCAACATTATATAGAAAGGGAAAACAGATAAAGATGAACAAACAAAAGAAAAGCTTTGAGACTGAGCTAGGCTAGCATAAAGGGAAAGTTAAAATCATGAACATCAGTGCTAAGGATTTGTAGAACAGAAATATGAAGAGCAAGGAGAAATTAAGGGATAGAAGGAAAACAATGACAAAACTAAAGATAAGACAGAAAAGGAAGAAAGGAAGAGAAACAGGGGAAACAGGAGTGCAAATGTAGGGGAGTGTGAGAGAGAGAGAGAGAGAGAGAGAAAGAGAGAGAGAGAGAGGAGGAAAAGCAGCAAGGGCGAGAGAGGGATAGAGGAGGAAGAGTAGCAAGGGTGAGAGAGTGGGAGGGAGGAGAGGAGGAGGAAAAGTAGCAAGGGTGAGGGAGTGGAAGAGAGAGGAGGAGGAGGAAGAGTAGCAAGGGTGAGTGAGTGGGAGAGAGAGGAGGAGGAGGAAGAGTAGCAAGGGTGAGTGAGTGGGAGAGAGAGGAGGAGGAGGAAGAGTAGCAAGGGTGAGTGAGTGGGAGAGAGGAGAGGAGGAGGAAAAGTAGCAAGGGTGAGTGAGTGGGAGAGAGAGGAGGAGGAGGAAGAGTAGCAAGGGTGAGTGAGTGGGAGAGAGAGGAGGAGGAGGAAAAGTAGCAAGGGTGAGTGAGTGGGAGAGAGAGGAGGAGGAGGAAGAGTAGCAAGGGTGAGTGAGTGGGAGAGAGAGGAGGAGGAGGAAGAGTAGCAAGGGTGAGTGAGTGGGAGAGAGAGGAGGAGGAGGAAGAGTAGCAAGGGTGAGTGAGTGGGAGAGAGAGGAGGAGGAGGAAGAGTAGCAAGGGTGAGTGAGTGGGAGAGAGAGGAGGAGGAGGAAGAGTAGCAAGGGTGAGTGAGTGGGAGAGAGAGGAGGAGGAGGAAAAGTAGCAAGGGTGAGTGAGTGGGAGAGAGGAGAGGAGGAGGAAAAGTAGCAAGGGTGAGGGAGTGGGAGAGAGAGGAGGAGGAGGAAGAGTAGCAAGGGTGAGTGAGTGGGAGAGAGAGGAGGAGGAGGAGGAAAAGTAGCAAGGGTGAGTGAGTGGGAGAGAGGAGAGGAGGAGGGAGAGTAGCAAGGGTGAGTGAGTGGGAGAGAGAGGAGGAGGAGGAAGAGTAGCAAGGGTGAGGGAGTGGGAGAGAGAGGAGGAGGAGGAAAAGTAGCAAGGGTGAGGGAGTGGGAGAGAGAGGAGGAGGAAAAGTAGCAAGGGTGAGGGAGTGGGAGAGAGAGGAGGAGGAAAAGTAGCAAGGGTGAGGGAGTGGGAGAGAGAGAAGGAGGAGGAAAAGTAGCAAAGGTGAGCGAGTGGGAGAGATGGAAGCAAGGGGGGGGGTAAGGAAAAAAAGAAGGGGGGGGGGGTAGAAGGGAGGCCTGGAGGCCTCACAATCCTCCCCTGCCCATGGTCGAAGTGGCCCACGGAGACAACGAACCTGGAAAGAGAAGAAGGAAGATCTGAGCCCGATCACTTGCCTTTCACAACTAAAGAGAAACGACCAGCTGGACATGCCAAAACTGGTTGTGCATACAAATGTGATGTGAGAATAATCAGTGACATGGGTATTAGACAAAATCTGCTGCTTCCTTCACATAATTATGCTGCAAACAAATATTAAACATCTTGAATATAAATACAATACACCATAACCTCTTAAACACTGGTATGATCCTTCACTGAAGAGCTGCTCCCTCGTCTCCTCACACCTGTAGCCTTGGCCTGTGCTGAAGGGGGGGGGGGGGAAGAGGGTGAGTGAAGGACGATAGACCTAGACAACGTCACTCCTCAGGAGATCGAGTTTCACAGTTGCGGAAATCAGGTGCTCGAACCCCACACAGCAGCGCTGCTATGTCCAAGTCTACCTCATCAGGAACACGGCACCGACTCCTCAACCTAGAACTTATGGGACCATCGACCACATCATCCATTGGTCCAGGGATATCATTTGAAGATTGGCTAACAGGCTCCCCAAAAGGGTCTGGAACTCGATTCCCTTCAGGTTCAGCAAAACCAACAGGTTCAAGATGGTCATCGGGTAAGGTTGGCTCGTCCACTTCCTCGGCAGATTCCTCATCTTCCAGAGCATAGGAGAATTCTGCAGACGACCTGAATGGCTTCACATGGTTTAGATGGGCTCTAAACTCGACCTCAGTGTGGACATCCCTAATTTGTATAGTGACAGGGCCAAGAATCGATACTACTCTTGCTGGACCTTTCCACTTTGCAGAAAGAGGAGGGAGGCTACCGCCCGGCCTCTGTTCGTAGTACCAAACTAAAGCTCCTAAATCAGGCTTAAAGTTGGTGTTCTTTCCCCTGTTATAGTATCGCCCATAGGTAGCTCGGGCTTCCTTAGATGCGGCAATGGCAGCATTCCTGGCTTCTCGTAACCGCTCTTGTAGGTTGACATTCTCCATAAATATCGCCTGGTTGGTTAAGCCAACCTGGAAGTTTGCGTGGCGACCTGTTAAGAGGTACAGTGGCTGCTCGCCTGTCGTCCTATGGATGGCCGAATTTATCTGTAACCTCACTTC